CTCCCATTGTTCATCTCTTATTATAATTTTTGTTTCTAGTTCCCATTTTTCTTTAACCCTCATGTTGTTATCTTCAGATTCATGTTACTTTGCTTTATACATTTTTGAAATAACACCCTTCTTTTTTCTTTTTCTGTAAATTACATTAATACTTCCTCTATTTCAGAGGGTGCTCTGCAAATCCCATTCCTTGCTCATCATGTGGTATGACAAACACTGACACACATTCATAAGGGCCCCAACGGTTGAAAACTAAACTCATGGGACAAATAATGTTAATAGACGCGTTATAAAATATTTACAAACCATGAACAAATATCTGGTCCATGTGTCTCTATAATGTTTATAGATGTTTTAAAAACCATCTCTTAAAGGTTTATAAATCATTTGGTCATCATTAATAAACACTTCATAAATTGTATGAAATGTTATAATGGGTGCATCAATAAACTGTTAACATAAAATAAATTATAGCATTACAAATCATTAGCAAGCATTATTAAGTATTATTTCATTGTTTGTTAACAGTAAGTAACTATTAACTCATGGTTAATTAATATCTATTGACCCTTATTTACCCTTTAGATAAATAGATAGATAATACTTTGTCAGACGTAGTCATAGATCATGGTTATTATAAAGTGTTACCAGTTAAATTGATCACCTGCTCTACAATTTACATGTTTACCAGTGATTACAACTACATGGCAGACTGCAGTCTCTGTTTACAGACTGACGTCTTTCAAACTGCTCCAATGTTCACTGACTGCTCCTCTGTGCGTCTGCACATCACCCTCACTGCTCTGTTTATTTAAAAACTATTAACTATAAACTGATCATAAACCACGTCTGAACCTTCAGTTTGAGGTTTGATGTCTGTTGAGATGTTCTTAAATCATTTGAGGTGCTGTTAATACTCAAAATATTTAAAATACTGTACATTAAAATTCATTAAAAAAATCTGCTTTTGCGCAGCAAACAGTTTGACGTCATCAAGTAGAATGACCACTCAGCACCCCCAACTAAAACTGACTTCCAGCATCCCTCCACTAATGTCACTTTTGTATAAAACACTGAATGTTGTAGAGGGGGCAGTAGCTCAGTCTGTGAGGGTTGGGTTGGGAACCGGAGGGTCGCCGATTCAAGTCCCAGTGCGGACCAAATATGGTCTGGTAGCTGGAGAGGTGCCAGATCACTTCCTGAGCACTGCTGAGATGCCCTTGGGCAAAGCACCACCACCATCTGCTGAGCACCTGTGGGCAGCGCTGTCACTCTGGCATCTCTCCATTAGAGCATGTCCATAGGATCCTGTTTGTACATGTGTGTATATACTTCACACTTGTGTGCATTCATGACTACAGAGTGTAAAAACTGAAATTTCTCCTCGTGGGATCAAAAAAAGTAAATCTTAATCTTAGAGATGTGATCCAAATTTGGACAAGAGGGTGGAGCAGGAGAAGAGTGATAATCATATTGACATTATGCCGCCAATACACTTTTTATTGACATTCATTGAGCTACTTGTAGTTTACTTCATGCTCCAATCAAATCTTTGCAATAGGTTGAAAGGAGAGCACCTGGCCGCCTACCTGAGGGTCTCCATCAATGACCTGAGCCTCTGGATTTCATGTTTTGACAATTTGTATTTAATTAACAGCATAAAATTGTTAAAAGAGAACAAAGTTTTTCATACATTTAGCCTCTTCATATTTAACTTTAAAATGTACACATTTTTCTCACAGGGGGGCATGCCCCTGGACCCCCCCTAGGCAGTACAGTGTCCCCCCACAATAGTCTCATAAAATCCTGTGGGAGACTCTGGCAGCTAATGCTTTGAATTGAAAATTATAAATATATATATCTTTTTCAAATACACTATTTAATACAAGGAAGGGAAAATCCTTCTAAAGTCCAAATCACAGTCACAATCCAGCTCCCCACCCAGCCAACAGGACTGGGAATCTGTGCAATCTAGAAACACTGGAACCTGTGACTATCTGGATCTGAGGACAATCTGGAATCCATATTCCTCTGTGGAATGGACCTCAGGCTGTCCGATGATTTCCAGCCCGTCACCAAAACCTGACCTAGAAATGAGGCCAGATCATTTCTCTCAATTATCATTCTGTAATCAAATCAATTGCTACAGGCTACTGTTAAAATAAAAATAGCTTAATATTTCAGTAAGCCCATAAGGCAAATCAAAATCTCAGTTTAGTTGTGCAACATTTCTTCTCAGGTATCAAAACTGTAAATACGTTAATAGACAAACTTTTATAAAAATAAATGTCTAATTCAAGTTTCACAGAAACTGAGTTACATTAGTAACTATCATAAATAAAATGGCAGAAATTGCATAATGCAAGTTAACATTCATCAACATGAATTATTTCCTAACAGAACTTTAACTATAGTAATGTAACTCTGAGGCATAAAGACGTTTACATGCTTAAATATAACTCACCGCACTGGTAACAGTGGAGAGAATGAACTAAAAATAGGCTCCTTTAATCTCTATAAATCAATTTCATTAAATATGATTTCTCGTCTCACCAAGTGGGTAAATGCGGCTCTCACGTTACAGCGGCAAAAGAGCGAGCGCTGGAATAAGAAGGCGGAGCCTGAGCGAAGGCTAGCTGATAGCCGATTGGTCGGCTCGCTGACTTATAGAGTTCACCGATTGGCTCACTTGCAAACTCATCAAATCACTCAAAGAAAACAACAGAAATGTAACCCCTTAGTAGTGACTTGATCAGACAGCTTTAGGCATAAAAGGAATTCTAACCATCTTTCAATAACTTTATATCTTGAGTTACAGCTCCACTACATATATGTTATTTTTAAAATAAAGGAATGTTTTTAAAATTAAAGTGTCATAGTTAAACCTGGGCTACACTTAGCAATATCATCAAGCAGGCGTCCTAAAGAAACATTATGTTGTTTTTTACCCAGCCATTCGTTCCACTCTATCACAATCAGCTGATCTCTGAGCAGGTCCTCGGTGTGATTCTCCCTGAGTCTTCCTTCTAGTCAACATTAACTTAAAGGTTTGTAAAATATAGTGTTTTCAATACGGTTATTGGTGTGCAAAAAAATTATCTTCTATAGGTCATCTATGTAACATTTAATGGGGCGCACAAACATGGCGTGGATAATGCTTTTAGATGGTTAACAAACCAATTATTAATCATTGATATAATATTAATTATCTATCTAAAATATTTATAGATGCTTTACAAAGTATCAGTAAGGGATTATAATCTTCAGTTCCAACTTTATAATAACCATCCAAATAATGTTAATAGACGCTTTATAAAATATTTACAAACCATGAACAAATATCTGGTCCATGTGTCTCTATAATGTTTATAGATGTTTTATAAACCATCTCTTAAAGGTTTATAAATCATTTGGTCATCATTAATAAACACTTCATAAATTGTATGAAATGTTATAATGTGTGCATCAATAAACTGTTAACTGGTCTGTAGTGAAACGCTGCTTGAGCAATGACTGAAGTCTGTATGATCTATAAACTGTCGCGGTACCGAGGCTCCAATCGGTCAGGTCAACTGTGTCATTAGCTTTCCTCCAGACCCCTCAGCCGGACTGAAGCTAGGGGTAACCTGTACGCAAAAAGTTTGTGGTTTAGCAGAGAGAGGGGTAGAGAGAGTGATAGAGGCAATATGACGCTGAATTGAGCAGAGCAAAGATACAAACATCAAAAACACTCATTAGATATATCTATGACGAAAAACTAAACAAGAAGGCATCGATAAGGAGACTTTCTGTCTTCAACATCTGTTGTAACTATGACAACCACACACGGATTCTGCGAACACAGTTTCTATTTAAACTGTAACACCGGTTCCTAACCATTGACTGTAAATATTAATGGAAGAAGCCTGAGTGACGTCTGCTGTCTGTTCTTGCAGGGGACTCCGGAGGCTCATCGGCAGCAGCCGCCATGCTGGAAATGCTGACTCACCCTAACTTTCAGTCAACCTAACGACAGGCTGAGAGCTGAGACGGGTTTTGAGAGTCTTGACAAACCGTTACATCGTGCCCACCTGTCAATCAGGTCAGCTACGCACTTAAATATGGATAACACGTATCGTTCATAAAATCAAAACTGAGCCTTTATAATAAAAATCACGTACAGTGAATGTGATGATAATAACTAATCAGACCTCTTTGGGTTTTTGTACCAGGCTGTAAACATGTTTGTTTTTGCTGTAAAAACTTCTTTTTGGCTGTGGTCTGTATGTGACTTCCAGTGTTCCTGGAGCCAGCCTCTAGTGGACAATGGACAAACTGCAGGATTTAGCACTTCCACATTGGTTTAATTTTTCAACACTGGAGGTTTCCAGTCATACCTATCTCAGTTTTATCCAGGTTTATGGTGGGTTCTATTTACCTCGGAACTCAGATCTTGAAACTGGGTATGACGTAACAACAACGTAAACAACATTTCAGTTGCGAGTTGGCCGCAAGTTGAACAAGCAACATGATCGCCTCCAGGGGTTCCTTTGTTTTGTTAGCTTATACCTGACTTCAGTGTGTTAACGTGCTTTCAGATTTGAATGTTGTAACAACAACAAACTTTGTGGATGCTACGGAGACGATGTGAGGAATGTCTCCATTACTAGTTATATACGATTACAACATTGATGAACAATAAGTGAATTAATAAAAAGTATCTTAACATTAACTAAACATCTTTTGCCCCCCATGTGACGACGATTCTGACGTCATGTCGGGCTCCTAATTCTTTCCCGAGTTTCCGAGTTGTTGCTCCGACTTGAGCAAGCGTTCATGTTCTTTTTCCAACTCAGAAACTTGTTTTCCCGATGTGTCCGACACCATATGAATGCACCATTAGTCCATGTGGACTAAAGTAGTAGAATGACAGACATTACTGCTGGAGTATAAAAAAAAAAAAAACATGTTGATGTGAAACACACGAGGGAGCTGAAATATGATCCTGGCTCATAACTTGATACAGGAACTTGTATTCAGCAGCAGACGGGGTTTTTGTATCAGTCTGTTTCACTGTGTGGTACATCTTTGGCTCTGGAACTAAACTGTTTGTAACAGGTAAGATTAAACATCTATTAATCCATTGTTTTTAAATTAAAGTCTGCTGCTTTAGGGCTTATATGCTGTTGTGTTTTTTAATGTTTTATAGAGAAGTCATAGTACCTGAAAGAAGTTTAAATGTCACATCTGAAGTCATTATTTCTTCATGTGATGAACAAGTTTCATAAGAAAGGTCTGTAACTGTATTATTACAAATATGTTTTGGATTCTCTCTGTGAGTCAGCAGCAGCTTTTGACAAAAACACAAACAAAGATAAAATACGGATTCAATTATGATGAAAGACGAAATTTAACCTTGTTAAAATAGCTTTTTATTTAATGGAGCATATGCTTTTTATGTGAATAAATAATGAACCTGGTTACTAAATAAGACCCTTAAAGATATCACATGTAATATTACAGCACTTAGGCTATTTAATGTCCTACACGGCATGTAACATTTTGTTTAATAGACACACATATTTATGTCTTTACTCACACATATATCTACAGATTCTAAACAGTGTTTCAAATAATAGATGCCGGGTGGTAAACACAACGGTGATGACAATTTTATATTTGCTGTTATGCACAATTTATTTTCTAGAAAGACACATTTAATTTAATTTAATTATTTGGTTAGCGTGATTGGGAAAATATAATTTCATCATCAGATCATTGAGGCTTCCCTCATTTATAATGATGTAGTGATACAAAAAAAAGAGCACAAATAAAACAACAAAGACGGGTCGGAATGATTCTCAGTAGAAACAATCGCAGTGTGGTAAAGTGGTTTGAGATCATTGTCTTTATTTGTCCAAGAGAAACACGAGTTTCCATATTTAGAGTGTGTTGTGAATTATTCCACATTTTTGGAGCAGAAAAGCTAAACGCAGATTTTTCCAAGTAAATAAAAGACCCGCAGGGCTTGAAGCAAAAGACGATTAGTAGAGTGAGTTTGGTCCAGTTCAGCAGCGATGTTATATAAGATGGTGTACGTCCAATAAGTGATTTAAAGACATACATGTGTTTATCACGTCTCTGTGCCAGAGAAGATCAACCAACTTTGTTCGACAGAATATATTTTTATCTCAGATAATAACACTGTCTCAACATATCCGACCTGTTTATGAACAGGTTCTTGATCCTCTGGGAAGTTCTTTTGACCACTATTTTAAAACATGCTACTTTGGCGTCAAGTAAAAAATGGGTCTATCCATTTTCAAAAAACAATAAAATATATCAGTTATCTTTGTGGTATTTTCTATTGAACGAGGGGTTTTAGTGTTTTGAAAATCATCACATTCTGTTTTAATTTACATTTTACACTAGGTCCCAATTTTTTATGAAATAGGGTTGGAAGTTCAAAGTGGAAGTTATAGAATTTTAGAATAATTGTGTGTGTGTTGTTGCTCTTTCAAAGATAAGCAGGTGGTGCAGCCCGTTGTGAGCGTGTACCTGGCAGCATCGAGAGCCCAGCTGGAGGAGAAGAGCTCTCTACTGTGTGTGGCCTCAGCCATGTTTCCTCCTCTGGTCCAGATCTCCTGGAAAAGACAGAATGGGAGCGATTCTCTGGAGGATGTGAACCCTGCTGATGTGAAGCAGCAGGAGCTGAGGGAGTCGGGGTGCAGTGCCTCCATCTTGACGATCTCAAAACGAGAGAACAGCACCTATAAATACCACTGCTCAGTGCAGCATGAGGGGGGCACAGTGAATGCTCAAACAGGAACAGGTAATGAAGGGTTGGTGTCTGCATTCAGCAGTGATTCAGCTTCATGTGGAGACGATGGAGCAGAGGACTGACGTTTATTTTTAACTCCTTCTGTTTGACAGAGGTCCCCAGTTCCTACGACCTCCAGTCCTCCAGAGAGAGAGCCGACTGACAGTAAGATCAAAGTCTGTTTATACTTACCTTTAAGAAAAACCCAACTCAGTCAATGTACATTATTACTCCCTCTACTTACATTACCTCTAGTGTACCACAGGGTTTCATATTAGGGCCGATTTAGTTTGTATGTGTCTCCAAGGGGAGCTTAGAATTTAAAATCTTGATGATTACGTCATGAAAGGGTCCGGCAGAAGTTGTGTGCGACTACTATATAATCACGAGAGACAAGGACTGTAGTTATGGCGACCAGCGGCAACCCGGCGTTTTTTTCTTTTTTGGTTTTCAGTACAGATCATCAGTGCAGCACTTTTCTGAAACTTATATCCATATATCTACGATTGTGTCTACTTTCCTATATTCTACAACAACTTCCACTTCCTTCTCTTTCACAGACCGCCGTCCGTTGGAGTTTTCAAATGAAACCTTATTAACAACTGTCAACGCTCCGACCCAATTTCACTCGTACAGTGTGAGCTCTCTGGCCGTGCCCGACGATCAGGTCGTACAGTGTGAGCACGTAAATCGCAAGGTCTGGTCGGGCGTGTAAACGAAGCAGTCGTACAGTGTGAGCTGACATGCCACCCCGACTTTTATACAATCGGGGGGAAAATCTCACAGTGTGAGCCAGGCTTAAAAAGAACATTGCCATAATACAAATGTGAAAAGACAAAGGCGTGAATAATCCTTTTTAGGTCAGGGAAAGACAGAGTTGATTCAATTTAACCAATGTGTCATTACATCAGACTCTGAGGTTTGTGAGTGTTGGAAATTAACCTGAGAGCAAAGTCCATGTGAAATTAAATTCCAAAAACATTTGTATTCATCATATGTTTCTCTGTTATTAACGCCGACAGTTCATCAAAGCAGCTTAACTTTTAGCAGCTGTCTGTATTAAATGTTTTTTCTGCTCCTTCCTTGTGCCAAACAAATCTCAAAGATAAGATTTCAAACTGAAGTAGTGGGGCCTGATGGAATATCTTTTTCATGTGGTCAATTATCCTTGGATGAAATGACGCTCTATATTTGTAAAGCTTAAGCCATGTCTTTTTATCTGTCAGTGTCCTTTCAGTCTCAGTGCAAGGTGAAGCTGCTGACGCTGCTGTACACGGTGCTGATACTGAAGAGTCTGGTGTACTGCTGTGGACTCTCTCTGCTGAGGATCTTCAGAAACAACAAACCGTCCATCCACTGAACATGTGCTAACTGATTGTCTTCTGATGTTATGTGCCGTAGTGTTTTTGTAGTTTTTATGAAAGAAGCTTGTTTGTGAAAAAGTAAAGCTCTATGCTGATGACACTGTGTTTTTTGTACATAAATGAACGTACTGCAGGGTGGGCTACCTTTATCATTTTATTCCATTTACAGCTTTTATCAGCAGTCCAAAATGTTGTCTAAGAAGTCTAATACCTCAATCTTATGGTTTATCTTCTTACTCCTGTAGTTCACAGACATTTAACAAAAATGAAAATGAGTCAAGCAGATTATTTAAAAGTACATCACCGGGCTTGGGGGCATCAATCAGCAATCACAATCAGCAACTGAATCAGAATAACTTTTATTACCAAGTAAGGTCTGGCTAATGTAAGAGCCCACACATGACGACAAGTAATGACAGATTTCCCAGTTCAGTTCTTATAGTGTGTGTGGAGAGCAACGAGATGACCGACTCAGCTAACACACTCACAGATTCATTCAACAACAGTCTCCACTCTCAGAACTCGTCATCTCCCGCGGTCGAACGCGATTTAAAAGTAAATAAAAATGATGGTCAAGCTAAATGTGGCTAGCTGTTAGCTGGTACTCCTGTCCTTGTCAGTTGGATTGCGCTTTGTTTTACAGTGTAAACACTCGTGTCGTTACAACAAATCAACAAGTTGCTCCTCCATTTATAAAATTCATCTAACTTTATGCTTTGTGTTTTCTGTCGTTGCCATGGTTATGTTTGTTTTGCTTCTGGCTTCAGTCAGCTTGCTTCCCGATTGGCTATTCTGTTTAAAGTGAAAATTCACAGAGTCCATGCTTGGCCATCCTCTGTGTTCTCCCCACACAACAGGATGTCTGACAATTTAAAATTGGGGCGGCGGGCTTAAAATCACACACTTTACACCACAGGAACATCTGGTGAGATAATCTTTGGAACTGTCAGATAATCAGGCTTTTATTGAATTTGGTCAGAAGGGGAGAATCGGGCCCGAAATCGGCTTGATTATCTTGTTGTGTGTACCCCACTTAATGTTACATATATAACACAAACGTCTATCAGATTGTATCGTGTATAGAAGGAATTTGTCTTGGTGTTATTGGTGCATTATTGTTTATAAAACTCACATAAACAGCAGTACTGCTACTGTCAAGAAGTGTAGAAATACTGTTACATACCAGCATAAATATAAAGCTAAATCAAATAAAAGAGTAAAAGATGTGTCTTTGGTGTACGAAAGGAGCTGTAAGTGTTTTGTTTTTCTTACTAAATAAAAGTCTGTGCTTTTAAGGATTTCATTTCGCTTCACAATAAATATGTAAAAACACGATCAGCGTCTTTGGTCATGAGTAATTTGACTTTGTTATAAGTAGCTTTAAATAAACATATATATTATAGCTTCATGTTTTCTTGTTCTTGTCTAACTTTTTATACAAGTATATATTATTTATTTTTTCTCTGCATTGATGTTAAATAATAAAACAGAGTTAGACAGAAAGCTGATATTGAGAGTTCTGAGCACTAAAATGAAACGGAAGTTCCTGGAATGATGCTTTAACCAGAGTCGATGGTCGTAACTGTCACTGTGTGATTAAACTGAAAACCCTTCGCTAACAGAGAAGAAGCAGCAGAGCAGGAAACCCACACAGCCTGCCTGCTGCAGGGGAGGAAGTGTTGATTTGCTGTAAACTGTTTTTCTAAACCCTAATAACCACAGATTCATATTTGCTGCTGCACACACTGATGAACTGTTCTCACACGCTGTACTTTATTGTCTTGTCTTATTGTTACATAAAAAACCTTCCCTTCACATGAACTGAAGACCAACAGTGTCGACCCACCTTGAGGCAATGTTCTCAGAGTTTGTGTATATTTATTCAGTAAAAGAGACGCACCTGAGTGATAATGTGTCGGCAGCTAAAATGTATATATTCATTTGTTGGGTCATTAACTAATTCATTGGCTTGTTAAATAACAAATAATGATAATACATTTCATTTATAAAGATATTTCAAGTACTTACAGACACTTTACATTAGTTAAAAGTTTAAAAAAAGATCAAAATCAACAAAGTTTGATCAAACTAACAAACTGGCAACATTACACACGTTTGTTCTGTCATGAAAAACCTTTTTTCAGGACAAAACCACAAGTCATACATATGATCGTTATATGATAAACTATTATGATGTTTCCTATATTATCAGCTCAGACAGTGAACATGACTGTACTCCTGTCTGTAAAGATTAAAGCTGCTGCCCTCTAGTGGCAGCAGCAACACATTGCATCACTACTGTTTGTATCTCAAAGCTTCAGCTTTCCATTATTTGTAAGGATAAAGATTTTATTCCTGAAATCAGTCAATATTGTACAATATAGTGGATCAGTTGGTAGAGTCGGTTGTCTCAAACTGAAGGTCTGGGGTTCGATCCCCAGCTCCTGCAGCCACATGTCAGATGTGTTCTCGGGCAAGACACTTAACTCCAGGTTGCTCCCTACTGCTTCGTCAACAGTGTATGCATGTATATGAATGGAGTGGTTAATTCTGATGGACTCTTTACACAGCAGCCTCTACCATCAGTGTTTGAATGTGTAGGTGTGACCTGTGGTGTAAAAGCACAGAGAAAACATGTATGGTATTAAAGAGGTAGGCAAGATGAGGGCCATCCCCAAAGGAAAGATCCTTCCCCTGGCAAACAAATCTAGATAAACTCTCCAAGTTAGGTTGGTATAAAAACAAAGGTCAACATGAGATGCTTGATAAACAAAAACAATATTTAAAAAGGGCAAATAATAGGTAGATGGGGAAGTGCAGATAGTCTGTCCACAAGGGAGAACGCTTTCTCTGGGGAAATAAACTCCTACTGAGAAAACCCAAGAAAGGATAATGGGAGTAGTGAGCCATGGTCCACATAATGTTAGGAAATGGTTGGTGCATTTTGGGGTCATACTGGCCTAAAAGAGAATCCCAATGAAAGGAGATAGGGACAAGTGGAGAGTCCCCAAGAGGTATAGACGATTTATGGGGACATAAACTTACATAAACCCTGTCTGAGAAGATCCTTGATGGAGAAAGGAACTAGAAAAACATGGAAAACCAGGCTCATAATGGGAGTAGAGGAAAAGTAGAGGGAGACATCCTTTTCTTGGGATAAACACTTTAAAAATAAAATCTGAATGGAATTATGTTGTTTACCTGTCCCATTATTCTCGAGCAGTAAATAAGAACATGGTCCCTGTAAGGTAGGTAAACAGGAACATGGTCCCTGTAAGGTTAGTAAACAGGATCATGGTCCCTGTAAAGTAGGTAAACAGGAACATGGTCCCTGTAAGGTAGATGAACATGAACATGGTCCCTGTAATGTAGATAAACAGGAACATGGTCCCTGTAAGGTAGATAAACAGGAACATGGTCCCTGTAAGGTAGGTAAACAGGAACATGGTCCCTGTAAGGTAGATAAACAGGAACATGGTCCCTGTAAGGTTAGTAAACAGGAACATGGTCCCTGTAAAGTAGATGAACATGAACTCTGATGAAAGGTATCTCTTTGGATAAACCCTGTTTGATAAATCCTGTCTTTATAAACGACCTTCATCCGTACTTACAGAGAATCAGGAGGGGAAAGGCTGATGGGGGGAGGGGCAAAGAAGAGATTTTTACCTGATGGAGAGAGCCTTCTCTTAGATTTAAGGGATAGTTAAGGCATCATTTTTGTGGTTTTGTTTGAGGTAACGGTCAAAGTAAATATATTAACCACCAAGAGAAGGCTCAAGTTCAACTATTATTAATTCGTTGTTTGAGACACACCCGGTCTCTTGTTAAAAAACCTGCTCTTTGAGGAACGCAGCAAAACTGAACATCCATCTTCTTTCAGTGAACTCCATCTGATGGAAGATTTCTCTTCCTTTTAATATTTTTTTTTTTTATCAGATTTTTATTGTGTAAGTGTGTATGAGAGAGGGCTTTAATGATCACTCATTGTGAAGCTAGTTAGAAGATGTATCAGATGTGTGACACTCACTGTGATGGCTGGTTAAGATAATGCTCCTAATGCTGTTTCTGTTCTTCCTTATTTACATCCTTAGAGGTTTTTCTGTCTACATGAACGAAGAACCAGAAAAACTGATGATGCAATACAAGGTATGATCTTTTTTCTCATCACATCAGGCTTGATCAGATGGACTAGATGAGGTCTCCCCTTTGTTCCCACTAGTGTGATATGTTCAAGCGTTGTCTGTAAAATTATCTGGACCAATTACAAAAGACATCTTTCTTTTTTATGGAGTACTCTGTGATCTACTGAATCTTCAAATTGTCTTGGTTTTATTTTACATATAGCACAAATGTCCAATCTGCTGTCACTTAAAAGGAGGAAACTCTGTGTTGTATTTTCCTGTTAAGCTTCTTTGTTTATAACTTGGCAAATACAGATCTGTTGCAACATGATCACGTTGGGTCTGTGATATTTTATCTTTGACTCCAACCAGGCTGTAAACATTTTATTAAACTTCTGTTTAAGTTATTTGTTTCAAAGTATACATTGTTTGAAAGGTTTAAAGAAAAGGTTATTTGAGTTTAGCTTTAAATGATGGCTTTTGTTGTCATGCATTTTTAACCACGTTAAAATAAGTTGGACCAACACGACTAAAAGGAGTCGGACGCAACCAGAGTAAAGAAGTTAAAACAACTTGAGTAAGTCACGTTAGTCCACACCTAGTAGAATACATTAATTAACATTTTAAAATAAGATAGGCCTGAACCATAATGAATAAAAAACAATAACACAAACACATTCAGCTGACCCATCCTAATTATTTTATGTTGACTTAACAAAATTCCTTGATGCTAAAAGAACACATTTTAATTTGATGGAAATGGTTTCCATACTTTTATTACGTTCAGCCAACAAATTATTTTGTTTGAGTGAATTTGGACTCATCAGCTGATCTGTCTGAGAGTTTGTTAAAGTGAAATGAGACATTCAAAGATGCAGCAGTGTTCTTCTTTTACATCACTGAGACTACAGGGAGACACTGAGGACCACTATCTACGGAGAGCCTGATGGGACAAACATGAGATTACTCACAATGAAGTAGTTAATGCTGACAGCACTAATACATGTCTAAACATAAATAAAATTCCCCCGTCCAGTAACAGCTGATAGAGACATGAACCAGACTGTAAACATGTTAATCTCTGCTGTAAAACAGACTTTTGAATGGGTGTGTATGTGACTTCCAGCCTCAAGCAGACCCTCGAGGAACTGCAGGATTGCTTTATTTTTCAACACCAGAGGTTTCCCCTTGTCCTGAATACCACTACCAGCATCATCAGGGTACTTTGCAGTTCCCAAACTGATCATAAGGTGGTGCTCTTTCTCCTTTAAGTTAGACACAGACACACAGAGATCCACCTTCTGAAAAAACGTGTTTGAAATCCAACAAACAGTCATGAAGGAGGAGTTTATTTAAAGATGTGACACTGAGGTAACACTTTAAAGACTCATGTTATATCAGATGTGTCTTTTGTTGTTAATATTTTAAAGTTTTCATCATAAGAAACATCAAAGCGTGAAGAAAAAGACCTCTTAAAGAAATGTTGAAGGTATGAAAACAGACTTCATCAGTGCAAACAGAGTTATTCCTTTTGAAGAAGTTTGAAAATACATTTTCTGAATTCATGAAATGAGCAAAGACATGCTGTTTGTCTCCTTCTTTTACATCAGCAGCAGAAATAAGAACAGACATTAAACATCTATATATAATTAAGTTACAAAAAACACCTGCAGAGGTAAATAAAAGAGTTTCAAATTATGCAATAAAAAAAGTTATATAAATATTCAGATTCTTAACTTCCTGCAGACTTTCAGAACTTTGAATAGAATCAGGGGCTGATGGGAGATCTGAGGCTCTGATAGAAACCACGTGTTCCTCGTCTGATCTCTCAGCTCGTCCTTGTTTGTCCTCTGCAGCGTCACAGCGTCACTTCTCCTCGGGTTCACCAGAGGAAACATCGCAGCTCCAAAATGCTTCTCCTCCCAGCCGCCGCCCTGTGCTGCCTGTGTTCAGGTAGAGTTTGTGGGCTCCTGATTGGCCGGAAACACTCACCTGAACACAGGCAGCACAGGGCGGCGGCTGGGAGGAGAAGCATTTTGGAGCTGCGATGTTTCCTCTGGTGAACCCGAGGAGAAGTGACGCTGTGACGCTGCAGAGGACAAACAAGGACGAGCTGAGAGATCAGACGAGGAACACGTGGTTTCTATCAGAGGCCTCAGATCTCCCATCAGCCCCTGATTCTATTCAAAGTTCTGAAAGTCTGCAGGAAGTTAA